TTCAGAAAACTTAGATCAAATTTTCAGTCGTAAACCCGATGATGTCTATTTTGTGAAGCACACTTGTAATACATTTCTTTTAGGAATAAGATCAATTCATTGGCTACCTCAATTCCTCCTTTCCTGGAGCAAGCATGCTAGCTACTTCTCGCCTACAGAGGGAGGGTCTAATAAATACCCTGTCCTTGAATCTGACGGCTCTTAATGATTTCGGTGACCATTAGAATGTAGTGGAAATGATGTTCTGAGACTTAAGATGTTCTAGGTCATAAGAATCCTTGTGGCTTCTGCCTAGGTTTCTTGAGACGCTTATTCTAGGAACGTTATCTTTGGGAACCCAGCCAACACTTTGTGAAAAGCCCAAAGTCACTTGGAGATGGCTCCAACTAGACTCTCAGCCAATAGCCTGCAACAACTGCCAGCTAGATGTGAGAGCTATCTTGGACAATCAGCCCAATCAAGTCTTCAGGTGGCTGAATTCCCAGCAGATATTGGACTGACACCTTAAATAAGAAACGCTCAGCTGTCAGCCCGCAGAACCATGAGAAATAACAATGACTGCTGTTTTAATTCACTAGTTTTGGGTATAGTTGTTACGCAGCAAAGATAACCAGAACATTGGTTTAACTTTCTCTGCTCAGGTTAAGACTATCAGGCTTTTATAACTTTCTAGCAAAAATAACACACTAGAGGTCAAATGACCCTTTTAAATTTCACCTAGTAGTCTAACATCATTAAAATGTTCTTAATTTGCTTAATGGAAATAGCTCAACCGTATCTCCTTTATATGTTTTTTCCTCTAATTGTTACTGAATCCAGATTTGAGCTACACAAATTTACAGAATCTTGCCCAACCCCCTCATCAAACAAAAGAGGAAACAGGATACCCAAGACTTACAGGACCCACCCAAAGACATAAGGGATTATCATCTGCTACTCCTGCTTCAAATCTTGGCTCTTTATACCTTGTTCATAACTGCCTCCGGGAGTCATAATTTTCCTGATAAAAGTATGAGTTCAAGACAATACCTTATCTCATTATTCTTTATCTAAATTAGCAAACAATTTTACAGATCCTTAACCGAATCATTTTCTACTGAAATTGAATGAGAGCAAATATTTCTACCTGATTTTATTTTCTTGTCAAAATTTATGGACCTCTAGATCTAACACCGAATGTTAAAGTCGTCACATTTCACTGTTCTAATTTGAGGGCATTTTAATATACGTTATGTGGTTGATTCTCCCCTTCCTGCAAACAGTGTTTATCCTTTATCTTCCTATCCCTCAACCAGCACACTTTATATCACACCTTCAAATAGTTAATTCATTATATGGATTTACCTTTCATTAAAGGTTGGAAATCCTCAAATTTTATTTTCCTTCTTGTTCTTGTGCTCTGATTATATTCTCATTATATACTTCCAATCTACTAAGCATTTGTGTTTAGATGTCTAGCCATCACCTCTTAACATTTCAAAACTAAAATTAATTTCCTGCTCAAAGCATCCAGAAAAAAAACCATCCGATTTATCCTGTAAATAGCCAATAAAGGGACACACTATTTCCCTAATATTCAAGGTTTCAAATCTCCATAGCGTATCTCCTATTCATTCTCCTTTTTATTGCTCGATTGCCTAATTTTATAATTTTTAATTAGAAATATCTTTCATCCATCATTTTCTTTCCATTTCCACTATTACCACCATTCCATCACGACTGCGCTAAACATATATCATCCAGGATTACTATGACAACTGTGTGTCTCTTCTCCAATTTGCCCTTTGTCTTAAACAACACGGCTCAATTTATCTTCCTTAAACACTAATTTCATTATAATTCTTCGCTGCTCAAAAACCTTCCATGACTTCCATTGTGTGGATTCTAAATTCCTTTGGTTGTTTTCGAAGGTTCTCAAGAGTCAAGTGCCATCCCGACAATCCAGCTCCATGTCTTACTGCTTCCAAAATTCATATCCTTCTTGCCTTGGGAAGGGGCCCATTATTCAACATAGAACACCTCTTCCCTTCTTAAATCTTTCACATACATCCAAATCAGGTTCAATACCACTCCCATCATGAAACTTACCCTAATAATTCCTGTGGAACTAAATAATGTTCAACATCATTTTTTAAATAAAATAAAGAACAGTTAGTGCTGTGGTTGGAGAATATATTAAAAATATTTCTAACCTATTTCACACTGCATCCTGAAAATCCTCCATTAGAGACCTTGCAAGTAAAAGTAAATCTTGCAGATAAAATGTAAATATTCTTAGCAAAGAGTTAGTCCTGTATTTCTGAGTATAAAATATTTCATCATATCCTTTCTGGAGAGCAAAATTTTGGAGCAGAGGGGAAACCTGTTGCATACCTAGATAAGCTGAGGAAAGACAATGAAAAGGGGAAGCATGAGATGCCAAAATCTCAATTTGCCTACTTTGCAAATAACTTTTTTTCTTTTGAGAATTAGCCTTGTGCATTATAGATATGATAACTATCAATTATTCAGAATATTTGATAAATCAACTACTCTCATTCTCCCACAATGCTTAAGTACAGATTTATTTTTCTGAGTCAAACAGGAATTGATGTTATATCTATCCCAATAGCACCATTTTCCTTTCTTTAAGAGACAAATTTCAGTTGTCATGACATCAGAAGGAGGTTTCACCTTGCTGGAATAGTCAGGCATTTTCCTATGCTGTTTTTCTCCTTTATTCTAGCAATTTGGCCTCCAATGCTGAACCCTCACCCCCGATTACCATCCAATAAAAGAAGTTCTAAGTAATGAAGTTGTGTTTTTCACAAGTAAATTAAAACAGGAAAAAGATGACCTTAAGTGACCATGTGTGTTCGCTCTAGTTTCTGAACATATTTCCTTCCTTCTCTCTGTCATCGGCCCCATCTGCTTGTTGGCTCTTCCTATTTCTGGACTGCATGTCCGGGTCACTGTCCTGAATCCCAGCTTCAGGTTCTCACTCTCCTTTGCTGCACTCTTGTTCTTTTCTCAAATTCCCTGACCTCTGAGTTTTCACTTGCTTCCTCTACCCACTCTCACCTCCTAGACACCTGACACCGACATGAGTTTTTAGTGAACTCAGTTACTTTAGGAAAAATGTAATTTGTTCCTGGCAGAAGGAGGAAGAGACAATATTGAAGTATCTGTCAGATTACAGACAGGAAAGAGAACTCTTAAGAGTTAGGGACCAAGTTTGGGATTATCATAAGAGCTCAGGTGTTAATTCCACCTCCTCTCCACAATAACACTCTCCTATAACTTGGGATCATGCACAATTTATCCAAGGGTGTTGAAGTAAAATCCAGGACCAATAGTTTTCATTATAGTTTGAACATGCAAGCTAGAGAAATAATTAACTTCAAAATAATGAATATGTTACCTTTTGACAGAGTTCACTCAAGCTTAAGGTTACAGGATAAACAAAAAAAATGTCATTCTTTCTAGAGATTTTTTCTTAGATCCAAATAATATCTTAATGCATTTAATAGAGTAAATAAATAGACTACACGCAATCATTTTGGCTTTCCATTTATGAGAGCTTTTCTCCTGCATGTGCTATTTCATCCAGTTTTTATGCCCATATACAAGGCGTGGGGGGAGGGACGGAGGGAAGGAAGAAAGGAAGGAAAGGAGGAAGGAAGGGAGGGAGGGAGGATGGACGGACAAGGAAAGGAAAGGAAAGCAAGTCTGAAATACATTCTGCCACATTTGGAAACATGTTTTATCTCTTCTTTTTAATTTGAAAATATTCCTTCCGTTTCAAAAAAACTTTTAAAGACTTCATTCTGGAGATCACCTGCAACACTGTTTTATTCGAAGACCCTAAAAATGGGTCTAAGACTCTTCCTGGGTCAAGCAAAAAGAGACCATGAATGTCTGGACCACAATTAACATTCATTGGCAAAAATGTCCTCGGTTTTCCTTTTTCCCTTTCTTCCAAGTTGGCCAATGTCTATAAACCCCACCAATTAGCAGTCAAAGCATCCCCTAGCCCTTGAGCCTGTGGGAATTTAGGAATTTCAACCCGAGCACGTCAATCCCACAGGCCTTTTCTGTGGAAGAAATCCCTCACAACAAAGGACAAGAGGAAGGCTGGGGGGGAGGGGCGCGTAACGGACTTAGACAAGAAGAAATGAGTAAACTGGCGTTGAATAGTAAACCCGTACTGCTGGGGGGTCGCTAATCGGTAACCGTGGAAATACAGCCCTGCCGCGTACACTCCTGGCGCCCGAACAAACCCAGCCACGTCCGGGGGGATGTACGACTCCCTCTCTACCGCCCGCTTCTGCGCCTCTCCTCACTCTCCAGGGACCCCACCTCCCTCCTCGAGCTCCGTTCAGATTGACCATCTCAAACCCAGCTCCCGCACCCCTGCACCCCGCCCACCACATTCCTGGGGCTATTCCGAGCTGCCGCCGCTAAACTCCAAAGGAGTGAACTCCGTCTACAAACTCGAGCAGAGCCGACCTACGCGCACTCCGCCGCCGGGGACCTGAGCCAGTTCCGACGCCCTTGTCACCCAGCCATTTGCCCGGCTCTGGTGTAGAAAGAATCAGGCTTCGGACGCAAATGTGGCACTTCATTGAGACGGGGACCAGAAAGTATGCCCAGCCTCCCTTGCCCTAGCACCCTAGCACGCAAACCTGTACGAATGGAAGTTGCTCGAAGTTCCCGTTTCTCATGCCCCACCTCAACTTGCTCCCCTCGCGGCACACTGCAACGTGGGCACACGCAGGGACCGAGGTGTCCCGGGAATCCGCTCTCTTTATTCCTCCCACGCCGCAGCGAGCGCCCGGGCGCACCTCTCGCGGCCCTCGCCTCCGGATGCCACCGCGTCCCCTCCGCCTCGCTCCCAGGACAAGTTTAGATACAGACAAGGGAGGCAGGAGGATTGCAAACAGAGGTTTTCTTCCCGTACCACCCACTCCGAGGCTGAGTCCCCGGGCGCCCCGCGCCGGCTCGCGCGCCCGCGCACTCACCCATGGCGGGAGGTCCGGCTGTCCTGCGTCCACACCAGAGCGCAAGCGACCCTGCGCTGCGCGGGCCAAGTTTTCCAAGCGGCTCTCGGGCTCTGGGCGCAGCGGCAAGTGGCAGCCTTGCCCCTCCCAGCAGAGCCGGTTCCCGGGATTCCTGGACCCCTCCCTCTCCCACCTGCCTCCTCTGGCTACGATCCACTGCCCTCCCCTTGTCGGTGGCTCTCCTCCCTAGCCGCCCACCCCGCCCCTTTCACTTTCCCGCGAGCCACGTGCAAACGCCTCCGCCTTAAATACGTTAAATACACTACACTACACACACACACACTCACACACACACACATACACACACACACACACACACACCACACACACCCATCTCAGCGCTGCAAGAATGACCTGGTAGATAATA